AAAAAAAAAAAAATCAATGAATGACACTTGCCAGTTGCAGCTCACTCAACCCTGATTTAACAATCATTTGAGATCAGACAAGGGAATGGCTCTGAAGTATAAAAAGTATTTTAATTTCTCCTGCTGAGTGTTAATCCACTTGAAACATTGGAGCGGATGCTGTCAAAGGAAGCAAAACATCTGTACCACCACCTACACTCTCAAACAAAAATTCTAATGTAGTTGTATGGAAGTATGTTCTGTGAAATACTAATTTTATTAAAACATGTTCGTAATCCTGTAGGCTTGAAAAGTGTCAGGCCTGACCATGAGATAAAATAATAAAACCATGTCTTGGTATTCATTCAGCATTTTTTTCTTCTGAGGATTCCAAAGCAATTTATGGGTATAACTCAATCTTTTAGTGTTGCCATTTGGAATCTTAGCCAGTGTGCTTTAACACATCCAGTAACCGGGAAAGTGACCAAGTCTCACTGTAGAAACTTTTAGAGATTTAATTTCTTGTTGCAAGCCTGGAAAATAAGAGAATAATGATCCCTAAATCTAGGCAACCCACGCCCCTGGGTAGTGTCTCCATTGAGTGTTGCTACCTGCGGATAGGGACATCATTCAAAGTCCTAGTCCCAATATTGTTACACTCCACTAATAGTCCACGAAGTAACAAAAGGCACGACTTAACTCAGTCATTTCTTTGAAAGGTCCAGTGCCTTTTCTCAGAAATGGCAGAGGATTTATTTCAACACGAAAATCTGCTGAAAAGGTTACTTAAGACTTTCTAGCATTATAGCAATAGCGTATTAAAAAATTGTTCTTTTTAAAGTATTTCTATTTCATATCAAGATTGCTATTCGAGATACTCTACTAAAGAACGATTGGGTCCTTATGATATTAAGAGTTATTCAAGATAACTTGTTGCCATGGGGATCAGTAAATAGTCTTGATCTGAGACATTAGTTCCCACTGCCAAGACATGGGTGGGAGAGGTGGTTCCCACAGACACTGTTTTCTCTAGGCTAAAAATACAGTATGAATTCTATTAAAGGGAAACTTTAAAAAAAAACAGTGATGTAGCCTAAAGGAAACATACTCTATCATTTTCAGAACAATTAAGCAGTGAGCATGTGATCCAATGCTTGGAGATTATATTTGCGTGGATTATTAATTAAGTTCATGCTCTGTCATGTCAAAGGTGGTGTCACAACCGCGGTTTGTTTTTTAGGGCTGTTTCACATGGTCTTAAAAAAGAAATTGTTTATGGAGATTGGTACATTATAGACATAAATAATTTCCTTTAAGGGTTACAATATAAACAGCACATTGACATTAAGTCTTTATGAGAGTTGTTTTGGTCTGCAAAATATTGCTCCAAATGGTTGCGATGAACCTGAATTAAATTAGTACTACTTTTATGGCCTCTGCTCAAGAAATCAAAAGTATCACAATTTGAAATGTATTGTTAAATAGTATGTCGACATAAATATAATTAATTCTTAGATTTATAGGATACTGTAGAGTTTGTAAAGTGACGTTACCACCAATCGTTTTGTTTGATGCATCTCACAATTTTGTGAGATAGGCAGGGCTGGTAGTTCATTACTAGTCTCCTTTCGTATGATGAGATTGAAAATTAAAATGGTTAAAATGCTTGCCTAAAGCTACACAGATAATAAATGTGAGATTGAGCACCAGGCCCCAAGATGAAAACTCCCTTCTATGTGGTGGTTAGTAAAATGACGTACTTCATCTCATGCAATTACTTTTATAAACGCTTATCATTACAACATTGAGACTTATGGACTTAATTCTGTGACAATTAACACTAAAGTATCAATTGAATTACTGTCTGAAACTTTTGTTGAACTAATTATCAGTTAAGTAAAATTATCAATTGGCTGGGGCTGGATATCATCATGGTCCTATAAAGGGTATTTATTTTTAAAAAATTTGACATACATTGAAAGAAATTAATTTTCAATTCATTATAAATTCTGCCTAAATCAAGTTTTATTTTCCATTTAGAAGGTAGGTTTCCTCCTTCTTCTTTTTTTCCCTTTCAATGACCTTTTGTGGCTTGTCAGCCTTATTAAGTTTATCACTGCATAATTTAACTCTTATTTTTGCATTACTTTGATGGATGTCAAGGTAGAACAGTCAGGTTTAAAAAATTATTATGATTATTTCTCATACTGTCTTCCTTTAAGGTATGCTCTTTAGATAGAAAATAGCTAGGCTCTTTCCAGTTTTAAATTGGTATAATTCATCAAGGAATAAACACTAACTAAAGTATATGCATATTGATTGACTCTGCTTCAGGAGGTCTAAAGTACATGTTTTCCTCCTCTTAAACATCACTCTTTTTCATGCAGGCTCATTCCTCCTTGAACATCATTTATAAAAGCTGTCAGTTGATAAGGAATTCATTTTCCTCAACTGTCCCCTAGGAAAGACATCTGTTGGTTCCTACTACCCAGGTCCCTAGAGGTGTTTTGTGTCTCTATCCAGCTTCCTTGTCATCTTACCTTTCATTTCCATGAACCACCCCATGACCGTCCACAATTTTTATTTTCTCCTTAAATTATAGAGTTAGCTTCTTATGTTTGTAACCAGAGAATTCTGCTTGCTACAGAAGAGTAAAAAGAAAGTGTTATAATTTGTGTCATTTTCCTATTTGAGCAATACTGTAAAATAAGCAAATATTTTTCTCATCAAGCCTTCTTTACAGCAATATTATACTTTCCTCAAAATTACTGATATAGTGTACATTTTGCATGAATCTCGCAATGTTCTTCAGAGACTGCATTTAACCAAATCCAAAGGAGGGGAGGTAAAGGAAATTTATCTGTTTACAAAAGCTCCCTACAATCTTCATTTTTGGAACAGTGGTTTCCAAATCATATCTTTCTCACTCATTTAGATAGTGCACCACTGACGAGGCTCATTTAGGGGACAGAGAAACTGCCTAGGTAATTTCTCTAGGTCAAGGACAAATGTCGTTTGTCCTTGTTTGTTCTAGGTAAGAACAAATGTCGTTTGTTCTAGGTAAGTTGCCTAGGTAATTTCTCTAGGTCAAGGACAAATGTCGTTTAGCCTTTTCTCCAGTCTAGGAATCTGTTTGCTCTGCTAATTAAACTACCCTAATCAGATCAGTAATGCCCGTTCTCTGCAGTGAGGCAGGTAAGAAATTCATTCCGAAGTGGCAAGTGAGTTGCTTTTCCCTCCTGCCTGTCGCCTTCTAATGGGAGTCTTAGCGTAACAGATGCGACTTGGCAAAAGGTAAGTGCACCAAAGCAAAAACCATATTTTTGGTGAGCTCACTCATTCTTGACAGAGTTTTTCCCCCTAAGGTTTTTCCCATCATGAAGTGACTGTGAAGGAGTGCCTTCTTATCTTTTGAAATCTTGAGGAGTGGAGACTGTGATAAAGGGGTGAGAATCGGTGGCTCTCACTACCATTGCACCTAGGGGTTAAAGCTTAGTCTACATCTCTTGTTTCTGTGTATGTCCAATAAACATAGTTCCCTGGAAGCCTACGTTCAGTTCAGGAACAAGAAACAAGCAAGCATAATCATCTTCACTTTGCATCAGTTGTATGTACTTTCCCTTCTCCTTCTTAACATGTTAAAGGAGGGTTGTTGAAAACTTATGGAAAAATAATGGGGTTGAAAACTTCTTATTATCTCTAATTCAGTCTGCTTCACCTTCTGTGTTCTCTATGACAGTAATTATCACAACTGTTTGCACAATCACCCAGGTCTGGAAACAGTTTTCCAACTGGTCTCTGTGCCTCTTGCCTGGAGTACTTCCTATCTCTTCTCTACCTTGCATCCAATATGATCTTTACTAAGCTTGAATCTGATTTTATCACTCCACTTCTTGATACCTTTCAGTGGCTCCTGCGGTTAACCTCAAATGCCCTGGCTAAGTATACCAGCCCCTGCATGAATGGGCACCTGCCTCCTTCTCTGGCTCACCTTCGTCCCTGTCCCACAAGCACCTTCTGCTCTGACCACATCAAATGATTTGACTCTGTCCTCAAGGATTTCACATGTGTTATTCTCTCTACTTAAAACCTTTTTTTTTTTTTGCCCTCTATCCATTTAATTCTCATTCTTCAAGACCAAGTTCTTGAAATGGAACCCTTCTGACCTCTTAATGATGAAGATGATTTTTCCTCCAGCGCACTCTTAGCAGCTATTTTAGTGCCTGTCGTATAAGATCACACGGGCTGGTTTGTGGCTCTGTGTCTTCCACTAGATGTAAAACTCTGTGAGGGAAGAGAGTGTATCACTTTGTCTTCATATGCCCCAGTGCCATGAAGTGTTAATGGAATGTAGAAAGCAATCAAATTTGCCTTCAGAATTAAAGTAGGAATAAAACGAGCCAATACAGCAAGTAGGTAGGTGATGCAAAGAAATCTCTGAAGCTGGCCAGGAAGGCAGACTTACAGTGCACACACTCCCACAGTCAATTCACCATGGCTCTTCCTTTTGCAGTCTCATCTCCAATCTTCCCATCTTGTTGACACACTTTTCAAGCCTAGCCTGCCGATTATAAACTCTCCCCAGGACTGGCGGAGAGGCTCATTTTCTTCTGCAATAAACGTCTATTGGGAATCATGCATTCTGGCTTAACCAAGCTATCGCATATCCTGAATCAATTAACTCAAAATTTCCATCTCTTTTGATACGTTTTTCTTAATTAATTAGAAAAGGGAGTAAATTCCCATTAGTACCCCTGTATGTAAACATGCGAGCACTACTTTCACCCCAACTTTGGGCCTCTCCATTGCTTCACTAGGCCATGGCACATAGAGGAAGAATGAGAGCTCCAGAGTCAGAGACGAGTGTGAACCCCACTCTTCCCACTTTCTGTCGTATAGGGTGTGTTACCTTCCTCTTTAGGCCTCAAGCTCCTTTCCAGAAAGTTGTGGA